TTGCTGCTGTCCTTTTTATCACCCAGGCACATTTCATCTTAAACGTTTCTGGAATATATAAGACACAGGTAGCACAAAGCAACAGCACTTTCTGCGTATGGCTCACCTGAATCTTAGAAGAAATCAGACAGACTTTTACTGCTTTGACCTTCCCAGACCTGTCTCTCTGACATTTGTTCATGAAGTCCCAGTAAACAGCTGATTTACACACACATGCTTTGCTTGTGAATGTTATAAATCTCTTCCTGAATCTTAAGGGAGAATTGACAATCAATACAGGTGTTGGAGCAAGCACTGCAGGCCTTTGGCTTTCACTACTGTGGCCAGAAGAGGGTTCAGTGACACTCTCCAGCACAGAGACTCCCAGCTCTTCCTACCTTCTGTGCCCTAAGGTTTTATCTCTCTAAAAGGAGCAGGGATTTCCTCTGGGGATTAGGAGGAGATAAAAACCCAAGACAGAGCTATTACTTCATTACCTTACAAAGCACAAATGGATGAAAAAACCAGTCAGTGATTGTCTTTCCTTCTTTTTTGGCAATTGATTTCTCTTCAGAGAAGAGAAACAAGGTCCCTCTTATTTATCCAGGTCTGTGAGGACACAGGCCACAGATAGACTTACAAACCTAACTACTACTGGGAGCTGCAGAATTCTGTATTTATATGGCATTAAGACTCTCAGTATTTCTTCTCAGTCCACTCCTGCTTCTGCAAGTTCACTGAGCAGGTCCTTGCTACAGGCATGGGAAAATCATATAACCCCAGTCACCAGCAGTCTCAGTACCCTCATTAATGCCAATATTCTGTCTTGAACTAGATTTTCCTGCACTGGTTTAGACTGTTAATACACCCCAGGCAGAGGAATTTCACATCCAGCTCTCCTCAGACTTTTGAAGGATGAGGTTAGGCTAGGCATGTGGATCCAAACCACAAGTTCCAGTTGCAGTGGACTTGTATGAGCAGCCTAGAAATTCCCAAAGAATTATTAAATACAAAACTATTAAACTGTTAAACTATCTAACAGCAGCTCTTTTGACCCTGGTGCACCCAGATAGTTTTTTTCCACCTGTCTCATTAACTTTTGCTTCTGAACTGTGGGAAAATGAAACAAGGCAAGCCAAAGACCTTGACCTCATTGTGTAGCTTCATGGCAGGAAATGTGCTAGCAAAAAAGACATTTTTTCTGCTTTATTTACAATTACACTGGTGGTACCTTGTCTAGAACTGCTGTCTTAAAAAGAAATAGTTTTTAAAAGATGACGCATTTTGTCTCACGTAAGGTACCTCAGTGCTCACCAGTAAAATCTGACAATATCAATAAACAATCAAAGATTTTATTTTCATGTTATTAAGATGTTTAATTGTAGGTACAATATTAAGTTATAAATATGCTCTAAGACAGATAATAAAAGCAGCTTATCACTCACTGACTAATTTAGAAACTCTTTTTTTTCTGCTGGATTTAAAATTTCTGGTGAAATTGGCGAGGAGTGCACTCAGCACATCCTGTTAGCTGAATCAATTGAAATTGCACCTGTTCTTGGATGCAAGTCATAACAAATGCAACCCATATACATCGTAAAGAAAAGGATTTGTATGCACTTTTTCCAATTAACATCTGCCTTTTGGCAAGTCATTAACCTATTTTCTCACAAAGAAACAGCTTCAATTGTATTATGCATCCGAAGCGTGCAAAAGTCCCTGAGGGGGGTACTCTGACAAAAACATACTGTTCCTGGATCCAATGTGAACATACATATTCATTAATTGTTTGGGGCAATGGGTACAGAATTTCTGATTTTTACAAGTCTTACAAGGTAAACAGGTTACATAAAGCTATGTCCCTGGAAATAGCCACATCCTGGCTACTGTCAGTAGAAAAAAATCAAGAGTGATTTTATGCTGTGATATAGCAATGAAAATAATTCAGCAACACTGCTCATGCTATATCTGTTCAGGACATCCTAAAATGGCAATGAGAACCCATTCTACCACCATTATTCCAGCTAAAAGATTAATATAATCAAAATTTAAAACTACAGTTTAGATTTCTCCCCATGAAGATGCTAATGAAAAAACTAATTATAATCTTACATGTGTAAAAGCAAGAATCAACAATCCCCCCCAAAGACAAGGGAATTGCTCAGATACATTCACCTCCAGGAACTGCTTTTCCAAAACCCTAAATGTTGCTATTGTTGACATATTTTTTATAAAAGTGAATTCTGAAGTAACAATTGGTAGCATTTCTTTCAATTAGGAAGCACATTTCCGGTTTGAAATGTCTGCTGAAGTACGCTGCAATGAGCTGCTGAGCTACTGCACAGTGCTTTGACACTTGAGGAATTTGAAGTTGGGTTTCTCCAGAGACAGTCTCCCAGCAACAACCATTCCTGCCACCACCTTCTCTCTCTCAACACACCAACCTTAGGGATCCACTACATGTCATACTTTTTAATAAGCAATTGAGCCATTTTTGCAGTAACAGGCTTGAAACCTGGAAGCAGTCTTTCTCCACCAGGGTGGCCTATTTATATTTAGTATCAGAAGGATAATTTAGCCCGAGGGAAACTACTGCATCAGGTACATTGTTGAGCTTGTTCAGAACAAGTATGGGCTATCAGTACTTCATTGCAGTCTCCAATACAGATATAACTTTCATAATTTAAAGATCCACACAATTATTTTTTCATGTAGTGCAAAAGCACAAGACTAAATAGCAGTCATTTTCTTCTAGTTTTATAATTCCAATTAGTCAAGTCACCATTTATTTGACAGAGTACAAACCCTAGAGTAAATGCTTCTGAGAGTTTAACAGCCTTGGCAGGTGCTTTTAATGGAAGTATTTCCTTTCCATAAGTTTATTAGAAATTAAGAATAAGATAACTTGTTCACATCAATGCTTTTTGAAAAGAAACATCATGTTAGATGGTTGTGGCTGTCTTTTAGGAAAGCCATCACAGCTTGACGAAAATACAGCCATCCTGTTTTTAACCAACCATGACCAGACATCCTCCCAAATGTCATCATGTTGAGTTTCAGTATCAACAGATCACCCAATGGAATAACAATAACATGTCTTAATTTGGGAATTTTATGTTGGTTCATCAGATTCACAAACAATGGAGGAATAAACTGAATTAAATGCTCCAGATAATAGGTACTGAAAAGGAAGAGGGATTAGTAATAGGAGCGAATGCATAAGGGAAAATTCCAGCAGAGATTTTATTAAAAAATATGGAAGTAAAAGAAATATCTAAACCTTATTGATAAACAATCCTGAAAAAACTTTTTTAAAAAATCTGCACAATTAAGACATATATATGTATATAGTCCACCAAGAGAAAACAAGAAATAAGCAAAAATTTTAATAGCTACATAGAAGATACAAAAGTGTCTTCTAATGGAGACAAGAAAAGGCAAAGACCACATGAGTATTTGCAAATTCATGAAGTGAAGTACATTTGATCTAAAAGACAGCATTTATGTAACTTTGTGTTACATAGTATTATAAACAATTGTGTAATCAAAGGTCAGGATGGAATAACAATGTAAGACCATTCTTTGACAAAAAATCTGTGGTTAAGATGCAGTTGCATCCAAAAATTTTATGCTTCTTTGCCATAACCGGTAGTGCTCAAGACTGAGCTGCAAATACAGAGTACTTATTGGTAAAAAAATCAGAGTTAACCAAGGAAGTGAGGGGATGTCTGGCTATCTGAAGGTGGTTGCTGAGAGAGAAAATAAATTATACATGAAAAATTGACTGCACATTTCTATGGCTCTAACTGCAGTCATATTTGCACAGTAAGCTTGTGTAGTAAAGTCAAACTAAAGTTGCTGTTAATGAGGTTCAGCCTGGGAAATGGGCTTTATCTATATACAGTCAGTTGCAGAATTGGATTAAAATGCTCCCCCAGTTCAGGTGTCCTACTTTTCAACACACGAGTTAAGTTACAGAAACAGACGATTACCTAGTTTTGACTGTGAATTTACAACCGGTGCTCTGCAATTGCCATGTAAAAAAATAACAGACAGACATAAAGAAAATAAATATTTTCCATTAAAAAATAAGACCTACAATCATCTAAGAAATGCATTTTTATTAAAAAGAAAAAAATAAAACCCAAATCATCATACACTGCGAAGTTTTTCCTGCCTTATGTCTGCATTCACAATGCATTACCTGATGGGGTACATTCATAGCATGCAAAGCTTGAGCACATGTGGACATTCTCCTAAGATAAGAACCTTTTGTATTTATGGTCTAGATTTTGTATCATTTTGTGTTTGGTTCAAATATATTCTTCAGAAGTATAAAGCTGATTTTTGTTTTTGTAAATATGAGAAGTGAATGTTGATGGGGATGTGATAAGCAGAAGTGTTCAAATGCATCAGTTTTGCAGCTGAATTCACATAGATGCAATTATAGCTTCAAAGTTTAAGCGACTTAATTTTTGTATTTGTAACTGAAAGTTTTCACACTACATCATCTTGCAATCATGATTAAAATGTTTACAAGATATAGAATAACTCACTGCTTTTTGGTAAAACACTTGAGAATATGTAAGAGACAAAGAACATCTCTGACATTTTTTGTATTATATCTTATTTAACTTAGGTGTTTAAATAATGTTGTCTTAGCACAAAGAACATTATTTTCACAATCCCTGCCTGAGTTTAAAAATCTGCACAGTGGTAACCTACATGATAACTTCTATTAATCTAAAAATATGTAACTAATGGCTTAGTTATATTCAAAGATCTGATTAGGCTGAAATAAGAGTCCTGGGATGTTCAATGGAAATGATTTAGAAAATACTAGTTTTGATTGGGCTACACTTCATTGAATAGATAACCAGAATATCTGCTTGCTATCAATGTTTGAAACAGTTTTTTAAATTACTTCCATTTTCATTACTTTGATTTGATGTTTCTGCTTATAGCAAAATCCAGTGAAGAAATGTTCCTTGTGATTTTATGTAACATATTCATCAACATAGTTCATTTTCATATTTTATTACTTCTGTTTTCCTTTAAGTAACATTTTTTGTTGATTTCTTATGAATTCTTTCAATTTATCTTCAGTAAAAGCAAGACGTTGTTCCAGGACTGAAATAGTCTGCATGAAGAAGAGAATAATTTCAATTTGGTTTATATTACTCACACAGTATTACAGAAGTGTGCAACACAGTAACATAGGAAAAGTAATCTGAACTCAACAGGAAAAAAATACTATAAAATGACATGTCCTTAGTTATTCCACTATTTACAAATTAATTTAAAAATTATGCTTTCATCTCCATGGAGATTGTCTAAAGGTTTTTGTTTTCACAAAACATATTCACTGAGAAAGGGAAATACATACATGCATAATGTAAAGTACTCTGAAATACTACGTGAAAGTTGCATCCATATTTCAATAGAAAAACAGCCATTACTGTGACCTCAAATTATGTATTCCAAAAACCTAAAAGAAACTTTTAAGGAATCCCCAAGAAAAGGAAGTGAGAAAAAAAAAATATACTATTAAAAGGTATTAATTTTCTAGAAGATTATCTTCATCAGAAAAAGTAGGGTTTTGGACCCAGGTTGGCACTTTCTTTTCCATCCAACTACTAAACAAGTAATTTTCAATGCATGACTTGACTCCATACTTCCCAAAACCTATTTCTTCCTACTTAACATTCATATTGCAAAAGAACACAGAAAAAAAAAAAACCTCAGCTGCTCCATTTTGAAGTGATATAATGCCAATATATTACAGACTACAAAGAAGTATCTTAAAACATAAGCTAAATCTGGATCAAAAAGATGTATTGAGCATTTGCAAACCAGTGACTCAAAGTAACTGAGACTGAGCAGTTTCATTGGCACTAAGGCTTACTACACTGCTTGGATTCCTACCTAAGCCAACACCTCACACACTAAGTTTGGAAAGGGATTTATTGGTTATTTAATTGATTTAACATTGGCAATTTACTTTGTTTATCCCCTGCTAGTGCATGATTGCTCCAGCTGGAATGTCTGCTAAACAACTGGCTTCTGACAAAACTACCCTAGATATCACTACTGAAATACAGTGATTCTCTTTTTACCCAGACTTAAAAATACAGCACCAATCTTTATGATTATGCACCAGGAAGCTTTCATTTTAGCAAACACAATAAATGCAATCAATATTTTCTGAAAGGAAAACAGCAAAACAGTCACTTGGCTATAGAGCTATTCAAAATAACTCCATAGTCTTTAATGCTCTGATTTATGAACATGACTCCAGGGAATTGCTGCCCTTTGACAGCACTGTCATTTTGCACTGCAAGTGTCACCTGTTACTGCATACTTACTAGAGTTAACATATTCAGCTGCCCCACAATATTGTCCAAAGCACTGTCCAAGGAGGAGGAGATGCTTCTGTGCAGTCCCACACTATGCACATCTGACCTGCTCTCATTCTCTGCCTTCCTTTTTGAACTTCTTGACGAGGTAGAAGGAGAGGGACTCAGCAGTTCTTCACTGTTGCCAATATCCTTCAATACAAAAACATAATTTGAAGATTCAGCTGCCTTTGTCTTTATTTAAGTGGAACCATACCATAAGAAAGACAGGATTTTAATTAAACTTTTAATTAAAAATCAGGCTTTTAATTAAAAAAAACCAAACTCCACATATATGCATACACACAAGGACCCTGAGATTTGCTTTTTGTACCAGGTCCAACTCATAACACTTCAATTTGTTCTGACCTATGAGAGAATTCCAGTTGTGATGGATGAGACAACAAGGAAAATCTTAGCAGTCTTTAGGTACGTGTTTCAGGTACATAATATTGAAGAGCTATGTGCTGTACCCACGAGGGTTTGAATTAAAGCTTGAATAAATACAATTAATGAGGGATGTTTTCTTCAAAAATATATTTCTGGTTGACAAAGAAATTCACTTAGTATTAGTAAAGTAGTTTCTAGTTATTTGTTCAGTGATGGTACTTTCTGAAAAATTGATTCCTTCAGAAAATGGGAGAATGAAACCACAGAAAAGATCCACACAATGCAACGTTGAGAGAAATAACTTTGATGTATAAACATTGCTTCAGGTTAAGTGAGAGAGGATGATCTTCCCCACCAATTTGGTTTTGTCTGTGCCTCGTGCTTTTTCATGATATTTTTGAGTCATGAAAGGTTAAATCATCACTAATTCATTAGAAAGTCCTTCACAAAAACTTTGCCTGATTAATTAATGACTTACTGAGATTTCTTTGAAAACTTCTTATATCTTCAAACAATTTTAGTTTACCTTTAGACTAAAATAAATCGTGGTAGTTAAGTTTTACTATTTCTAATTACATTTGATATATCTACATTTACAAAACAGACCTTTTAAATGGCTACAATTAAACTATTTCTCTGGAATTTATTGACAGCCCATGAAAACATCCATTAGCTATGCAAAGGGGAAATTTTAGTCTCACCTGATGTATTTTATATACACAGCATTTACAATGTGCCCAAAATATATTTATGTTGTAAGGCTAAAGAGATTTTCAAAGGAGAGAGTATTTAAATCTCTGTCAAACATTAAAAAAAAAAATCCCCTAAGTCTCTAAAATAATCTTGTAGATGTAAATTGCTAGGCAGAATTATTGGCAGACTTTTACAAGATTATCTAGGCATGTTGATGAGTTCCTGTCAAGAATGATTTACACATAGCTGACCCTACCTTTGAATCACATAGGATCGGAGACTGATGGATTAAATACTGCTACTATGATAATGTAACTATTTGAAATTTAAGTAATACTAAATCATATCAACATTATTGTGAACTTATACTGCTGCATTATCCACAATAACATTCCTGTGTCTTGAGCACCATCCTGCACAGTCCTACGTAGTGGGAAAAGGCAGAAAGCAGAGACTGTGGTGAGGTAAGAGAGCAAAGAAGAAAGTCTTACAGCCCTCTCTGGGTAAAAAGTTCCATTGTGCAGTTACATTCTGCAAGGACAGGTCTCAAGTCCCCAGAAGAAGCCATGAAGTGCAGAGCACGGCAGTAGTAGAGACAGGGCAGATCCCCAGGCATGGAATTCAGACCTTAACTGACAATGCTATGAAACCAGAGGAAATCCATCTCAAGGTCTGATAGTACCATGGTATTCACTGACATCATTTTCATTGATTTATGAACAAAGAAACAGATAAATTCACAGAAAGGTACTTCCAGTTTCCTTTCCACCCTCCTTGCTGGCCTTGGTGACTGACTTAAGCAAATGAACCTAGCATGTCAAATAATAAATGGCTAATGCAACTAATACTGAAGTCTATCAGTGATGCATATTGATACCAGGGTGTGGCAAAAATAAAACTGTGCTAGACATCAAACGAGAGATTTCAAACACTAAGGCTGTTCTACAGAAAGACACAATGGTTATAACATTTGCAATGGACTAAGAGAACTGGCATTCTCAGGTCACATCTACTTCAACTCGTGAATCATAGAGCAATGTTTTGTTGGCCAGGATGTCGCCTTTTAAAATGCACAAAACTGTGGAAGAAAGGGCACCCTCTCCAGCCATGCTGCTTAAATATATCACTGGTCAACAGAAAGCTTTAGTTCAGTGGTTAGAATGCTCAGCCAGGAGCAGGCAAGTTCTGTCCCTGTAAGAGGCTTTATATTTTATATACAAAAGGGAATAAAATACATAAAAATTCCAAAAGAGAAAGGACATGAACCCAGAACTTTCCCACTCCTAACTAGATGGTTTAATTGCATTCCTCTCTACAATACCATTAATTTAATTTTCTTCTCAACATGAAAAAAATTGTTACGTCAACCTCAACTTACTCCAAAGAGCTGTATAGTGTAAAAAGAGTAACTTGTTAGCACAAAATGAAATAGAATACAAATGGCTTGGTTTTTGGACAAGATGGGCAGAAAATTAATTTCTCAGTTAATTTTACTTTGCTTTCACTCCTTGCTTTAAAGTTTTAGAAGACTTCAAAAGAAAGCATTTCAAGTATCTTGGAATATTTTGGCTCTCAGTGTCTCCCCATGTACTTTTAGATGAACATGATATATAGGACCGTTGCATCTTAAGACTGTCCATATCTTACAAAGATTTTATGATATGAGATACTGCTAATGCAGTCCTAGAAGAACTCATATTCACTGTGTTATTTCCAAAATATGAAGATATATCTTGAGGTTCTTGGGAAACAGTATTAATGGAAGGCTTTGGCGTGTTTACTGAATCACAAGATGAATATAGTCTCGAATGCTAATTAACATGGGGAAGATTAAGTTCAATTTGGCATTCAAATGTTAAAGACAAAATATTGCCATGCATTAAAGAATTCCTATCTTACTCTATGAAGAATGCTCTTGTATTTAACTACAATGGAAGAGTCTGTTAGAATAGACTTCTCAGTGATATTTCTAGAAAAACAGGAAGATAGGGAGCCTACAGAAACCTTACTTTTGTCTGTAAATTTTGACTCTTTGCCCAGAAGATTCCAAACCTCAACCATGATTAGCTAAATTTGACAGAGAGACAAAGAACTCACTGATTAAGTTGCAATAAATTTTAGGAAAAATTGTAGGCCTGGTAGATGGAACACACTGCAGGAAAACCAGGCAGGAACCATGCATTATATATTCTGCATGGCAGCAGTATATCCTGACCAACTATCACATGCCTTAAGAAACATACAGTTGATAAAGGAAGTTAAAAGCATCAGTGAAAAACACTCAGTGCAGGGACAACTTGTAAATCTTATTAAATTGTATTTTGTAGACACCTGTATGTGTTCTCTGAAAATTATAGCATCTGTTGCTGATTTTAATCAAACCTAAGGAAGAGTAGGGTTCTCAGTAGTAATTCAGTTCCTGAAAGCTCCAGGAAACCATTTGCCAGAACTTCTCACCTCAGGTTAACACAGCTCTGTGACCTCACAGTCCTTAACTCTGAAGGAATTAAGAAGGTGTGAGTAAGACCCAGGTCTTCCCAGATGCCAGTAACAATAAGCTCACTGTAAATAAACTTAGTATTGTTTGTCTAATGTTCACAAAGCTACTTGTACTAATGTTATGGGAAGTAGATTCATTTTCTTGCCTCTGAATGGTAAAAGCAACTAATTGCCACAAGACAGAACAGGTGTAACTGTAAACTCTGATACTCTCTGACTTGGCTTACAGGCATTCTGCTTTGCAAGTTCAGTGTCCCAAGGATAATCTATTAATCCTTGAGTACTCAAAATTAATAAAAAATAGATTTAACATTCAATGACATTCAATAATTGCTGTCTGTGATTTATGATGATTTTAAATTAATTTAAATGAATGGAGCAGGAGAAGAAAACAATCTGAGGTTATGAGACATTGCTAAATTCTAGGAACAGTTCTACTCTGAAGTTGGTGTTTCTATTTATTTTCAAAAAAGAAACTGCACTTCACACTGAAGATTAACTAGAAATTTCACTACAAAGTGATGATAAATTTTGCTCTTAAACCCAGCCTAAAGAGATTCTTTCAACCCAAGGAGGAAAGGTGTCAATTCAGTAAAAAGAGCAAATGCTAAGCTACTAAAAGTCTCTTTTTTCCTACAATAAAATTGATCTGAAGTTCAATATATCAGACAAATAGGCCATGAAAGAATATTTTGTATCTCAGTAAACTGCCACCAGCATTGCAAGTTCAGAGTAGTGGAAAAGTCTTCTTGTAATTTAGTGGGTTAAGCAGCAAATTGAGATTTTTCTGTTACGTATTCAAAGACTTATGAGCACAGTACAACATGAAAGCATTTATAGAAGTAAGGCAAAGATCTTGATGTTTGTCAAAACTCAAACACAGATAAGCAAATAATTGAACTTTCAAAAATCCATAAGAGCAATGAAATAAGACTTCAAATTTTCAACTTATATAACTTATGTCCAAAGTGGTTATTTTTATAATATTCTGGAAATTTGTAGAGATTTTTTAAACACTGTCAGAGAACAAGTATGTAGCTATAAGACTATATGCTTTTTATTTTAACCTTTCCTAATATCTAACTTTAAAATCTCCTCCAGCTCAGCCAAGGGCCAAAACTGCTGAAATCTAACACAACACTCAAATGCCAAAACCTTGCTGTAAAGGAGTGACAGTAATCTCTTTTTGGATACCAGCCAGCTCATGTGCAACACTTTCAGCATTACATTTTATTTTAAATAAAGTTCTTTTTTAAAGAAAGTCTTTCTACTCAGTCTGTTTCACATGAAATGCTTCAAGAATTAAATGTTGTCTTTCCTTCAAATCAGCCCCTTTCTAAAGCACTTGAAATGCTACCAATTCATAAACAACAATTCTATATGTCACCAGAAGTGTCGTAAAAATGTCTCATAATTAAAAAAAACTAAAAACAAAACAAACTATTCTGAGAGTCATCAGAGCTATAGCTTATTTTGAAAGAATAAATTTTAATAAGGCAATCAATTTTAAATTGTTACTTCTGAGCAAAGCAAAGAAGAAAATTAAAATGTGTACAGTCTTTCCACTCACA